GGTGAGCGCGAACGCAGACCCCACACTTAGAAATAGCGCACCCGAGTCGCCCACATTTGGGGCGATCGCAAAGGTCAACCCAACCGGAGTGCAATGGAAGGGCCTCGCTCTGGGAGAACGGCCTAGCTGATCACCGTTAACTCCTGTGCCAGGTAAGTATGAAATTTTCGCCGAAAACTGCTCGTCTTATGTACGACGAATTTTCTGTCACTGCCTCCGACGGTTTTTCACAGCTGAAACGTGGCTTCATTAAAATTGACAGAACAAACCAATCGAGCGAAACCAATGTTTTCAAACAGCAAAATCGATTAGTAAGCCTTTCATTTTAGTTTTATTTACAAACGCCATCATTTAATCTGTTAATTCATGGCAACTTCTTCTTTTTGCACTCATTACAAAGGTCAAGGTCTTTGAATCAAGGGCAAATAACTCCACTAGAAATTGTTGCCATTTTCAAGAAAAGAGCCACATTTGACTTTTACAAATCATTTTTAGTCGGAATTTTTGTTTAGAAAAGAAAAAAAAAACAAAATCGACACGCAATTGTTTTTTTTAGTGAAATATTTTCTTAATTGACCTGAAACGCAAATTTATGAACAATGAAGAAACCAAATTAAAATAGTCATAATAACCTTCCTTTTTACGACATGAACAAAAAATATTTAAAGGAAAAACATTGTTTTTTTTTTGTATTTGACTTAAATTAATATGCATAGAAAGAAAATAAATTTTTCTTAAGTTAAATAAACTAAACACAAGGTAAAAAAACTCCATTTTTTCCGGGTGTTCTTTACTGAAAAAAAATGGTGAAAGACGATCTTTCTCAAAAATATAACGCAAAAAAATATAAATTCACAGATTTAAAATTTTTATTAAAAATAAAGTTAGCATGCATTCCATATGGCATTAAAAGTAACAAAATATTTAAACAAAAAGGTCTAATCATTTGTTGTCTGTCTATAGGTTTATTTTCTTTCAAACAGACAACTCAATCTTTTTTTCTTTTTGAGCTTTAACATAAAAACTTGTTACAAATAATTTTCTTTTCTTTTGGAAATTGGATAATGTGAAGGAAAAGTTTAAAATCAGTTTGAAAAGTGAACAGAAGGCTTTTTATTACTTTTTTTTTTGTGTGTGTTTGTAAAACTTCACTCCTGCACAAGTATTTAATTTTTGATGTATGGCACAAGGCAATCAAAAGATGAGAACATACGTAAAAACAATAACAAAATATTTATAAAGAAATAATAGTTATTAAGCAAACTGCTCAAAATATTTAGCTGAGTTAAGCTGAATTTCAAAGTTCTGTAATTTAATTTAACAAATGAAAATATTATAAAATGTTCCTTCAAAACTGCTTCTTTTTTTGTGGGGGTACAGGAATTTTAGAATTCAAAAATAAGAGTTGCTTACCATTAAATAGGAAATTATTTGAAAACTGTTCTTTGAAAGAAATAATTTTTTTATCAGGTCTCATAATGAAAAAGAGTTTGTTTTTTAGAAGGAATGTTCTTTGTGAATTAGTTAAAAATGATTTTTGTTTATATGAATATTGTGAAAATGTATTTTGGTAAAATAGAACTTTAAATATTTACTTGATGTTTGCATTGCATTATTTTTTTAACCAATGATTTGTTGAGAAGAATTTTAAAACTAAAGTGGAACGCTAAAATAACTTCTTTCTTTGGAATTGGAAACTTCTTTACTTCTTCTTCCTTTTAATGCCCGCGCTAAATATCTCTTAAAATTTTTCCAAATCGTTATAATCCCGTGTAAATGAACATACTGAACTAGAATTAACAATTAAATTATGAAGAAACCTACCGTTTTGGGGTTATCGACAAGAAAAATCGAACTTCTTGTTGGTCATTCATCCACCATTACTGACATAATGTACAGTAATTTAGTGCGGGATATATATATCGGCTAAAGCAGAAATTTTGGCAAGGTTTAAAATATTATAAAACCCAATAAAACTATTTTAATTAAATAACATATAATAAGGTCATTTTTATCTGAAGCCAAAATATTTTTTTGATGAAAAATGAATTTTTTTTTACATTAATTTTTTTTTCTTTTTTTAATTTTAAATATCTACAGGGTAAATTTTCATTTTAACACCCGAGAGTTATTCACTGCTGAACTATTTTCCTTCAGAAATTAGTACGCGCTTCCGTAAAGCGATTTTTTTTGTACTTAATTTATGAAGAAAGCTAACTTTCAAATATATGTAAACATCGACAAATAAAAGAATAACAAAAGAAAAAAAAACCTAACCCTAATTTGAAAGTTAAAATTCGTCTTAAAAAAATTACTTTGGTTTTCTTTTATTTGTCGATGTTTACATATATTTGAAAGTTAACTTTCTTCTTAAATTAAGTACAAAAAAAAAATCGCTTTACGGAAGCGCGTACTAATTTCTACAAGGAATTACTGTGAAGGAAGTAAATAGGCCCAAATTGTATACGTCCACCAACAAAATTCAGCACTGAATTACTTTTCAATAAGCCGGTAATGGCTGACGAAAGACCAGTAAAAAGTCCGATTTTTTTCGGGTCGTTAACATCCAAAAAGGTAGGTTTCTTTAATATCTAATTGTTGATTTGAGTCCAGCATATACATTTGCACGGAAATAAGACTATTTTGGAAATAATTGAAGGGATATTAGCGCCTCGGTGTTAAAATAAAAATTTACCTAAAAATTTGCTATAACTACATTTAATAACTATGTTTAGCTACATTCACTATGGAACAATTTGCGCGTGGAAGATTAATTATCGGCCTTTTTACTGCTCTTACTCGTGTAAATTACTGCGCATTGTCGAAAAGCAATGACAAATGGTAAATAAAGGATTAATTAATGCGTAAGCTTTGCACGAACTTTGAAAAGAGCATGATAATTAACCCTAATAAACCCAAACCACTAGGGTTAGGAGTAGTAACCCTAACCCCCAACCCTAGGTTAGGGATAGGTTTAGGTTACCAACCTTACCCCAACCCTAACGGTTAGGTGTTAAGGTTAGTAACCCCAACCCTAGGTTAGGGTAAGGGCTTTTCTTGTCTATCTATTATTGCGATACATTCACTCTCTCCGCTTCATGGCTTATGGTTCTTTTCTGCTCAGTATGCTAGTGGACAAGAAAGAAAACCTCAGCCCTAACCTTGACCCCTAATCCTAACCGTTAACCCCAACTCTAGGTAAGGGTTAGGTTTAGGTTACCAACCCTAATCTCAGCCTTAACCTTAACCCCTAATGCTAACTCTAACGGTTACGGGTTAGGCATAATAACCCTAATCCCAACCATAGATTAGGGTTAGGTTTGCGGTTAGGGGTAGGGATCATGCTCTTTTCAAGGGCAAGAAAAGCATTTAAAAACAGCTTTGTTCAAAGTCTGTCTATATTTCTGAGATGAGGTATTATGTACAGTATTTACATTAGTCGGACTATTGTCCTCATCTTTGTCGCCATATTTGTCACAACGTTTCGGCCGTTGTACGCTCCAGTTATCAGAGAAAATAGGAATGCCAGAGAAAAGCAATGATAACAAAGTTGCAATATGAACTCTGGTAAAGACATGCAATGATAACAGCAAAATTGCAATATGAGCACTGGTAAAAATGATGCTGAAAACATTAGGTTTATAATACTCAGAAGTTCATACCCAGATGTCCTCAAGGCACAGTGGATAAAAGCGTTGGTTAGATCCAGTGACAGACCCAAAGAAGGTGAGTTCAATACTTAAGGCAGTGGAGAACTTTCAGAGGGAAAATTAGCAGGAGATAACTGACATCCATCAAACATAGAACAGTCTACCCCAGTGATCGAAATAAAGGGTTCAGTTCGAGATTCCAACCACCTGAAGAAGGCTGGAGTGTACAACTGTGACAAATATGGCGACAAAGATGAGGACAATACTAATGTAAATACAGCTTCGTTCAAGAGTTGTTAATTAGGTTAGATAAAATTAAACATAATATTCCATGTAAATTTTATTTTATACATAAATATTAGTCTTACTTTTCATTGGAATTTGTAAGAAAAATCAATAACTTTAACAAGATTATCAAACACTAGCAGTAGAGCCCGGTGTTGGATGTAACAGTAAGAGATAGAGTATCTACCATCATGAAGACTGAAAAATAAAATTGACAGATTATTGTTTAAGGTTAAAGGACACGCACGTCTTAATTAGTTTTGTTTTTTTATTTTTTTTACGAATTGGTCAAACCCAAGTTCAAACAAAAACATTGTTTTCAATCGTTATGAGTCTGAAAATGAAAATGTAGGAAATCCGATCCCATATATAAATGAACATACACACACAGACACACATACTCACAACCTGGGTTTTATAATAAGTATAACTCGATATGAGCTGTCCCCCTTTCATTCTGGCGACAGAATCGTTTTATCGTGTTTTCAAATTGATTTCATGCAAAAACAACTGTGTTTTCCCAATTTTTGGCCCTGTCAGAACCAATGCAAGGTAATTTTACGCAGTCCTGTGAAGTTTTATTGAAATCGGTTGAAAAATGTAGGAAATCTGATCCAATATATAAACGTGCAGACACACACAATCTGTGTTTTATAATAAGTAAGATTTCGACAAATCCCAAAATCGTGCACTGCTAACGTAGACACAAAAAGGGGAACACCCAGTAAAATGAGTTCAGATGTTACAAAAGAGGAACTCGAAACTAAAAAAATGGAAATTTAAAAAGGTAAATCAAGGGTAAATCCAAAAGGAAATGGGGTTTTAGTACAATTGGCTAACGTGTGTAGGGTTGGGTTGGAACTATAAAACAAAAAAGCAGCTAGAACACGTAATCAACAACTTGCGGTGTCCAAAGTTGGCGAATAAAGTAAGCCAAGTACGTGCACGCGGGCAACAATAAACGCAAAAGTGTGAAAGCACGCCCGAGTCACGCAGTAGAGGTGGTTGACCTTGAGTGGACTTACACTTAAGCTGACAAGGAGAGAGAGACGTTCCCACCCTCTATTAAACCCGTTGGCCAGCGAAAGAGGAAATCACGTTAGATATCGCTGTCATTAAAGGAGGGGGAAAGAATCGGCAAGAGTGATCGTGGCCTCCCCATACAAACATTAGGTGAATGAAGAGAGAGTGACAATGCCCACTCTCTCTTAGCGAATATTGCGTATCCTGTTGCGTTAGTGCGTGTATGGAGGCCGTCTGTAAGGGGGTGGGGAGAGGGGATGACCCTGGCGCCCGAAAAGGCACCCATGTGTGGACAATTATTGAAGTTTAAAGTCAATTATGAGTCAAGGTCCGCTGACGAAACGACGAAAATTCTCGTAAACCCCGAAGATAAAGAATTATCTGATGTTTGGATTCGTACAATCAGTAGAGATCGTTGTTTTATTGAAACTTTAATGGTAAAATTAAAGACATGTCTTTGGGATTCATAACATAAAGTTAATAAGACATTTTTTTACAAATTGGTCAAACCCAAACTCAAACAATGTTTTCAATCGTTATGAGTCTACTGATTGAATAGAATTTTATTATAAACAATTGTTTTGTAAATGGAATTTTTAAAGCATTCTGAATGTAAAAATAAAGAAAAAAGTGTGCAAGACAATAAGAAACACTACCTGCCAAAAAAAAGGGAAGTTTTGTTGAAATCAGTTGAAAAATGTAGGAAATCCAATCCCATATATAAATGAACACACACACACACAAACAACCTGGGTTTAATAATAAGTATAACTCGATATGAGTTGTCCCCCTTTCATTCTGGCAATAGAATCATTGTGTTTTATCATGTTTTCAAATTGATTTCGTGCAAAAACAATTGTGTTTTTTCCAATTTTTGGCGCTGTCAGAACCACCACAATCTAATTAAAATTTAATTTAATTACATTTTTTTAAGTTTTATATATTTTTCGAAACTGCTGATTTTGTTCTTAGCTTTTTCATAAGAAAGTAAGAAAAATAATTGAATGAAGCAGATGATTTTATCTGTGAACTTTATATTTTGGTCCTATATTTTCTATAATTTATATAGAAAATATAGGACCAAAATATAAAGTTCACAGATAAAATTTTTTTTTAACACAAAAACAATTTCATGCATATTGTTCCATATACTAAATATACAGCAACAAAACGGAATAATAAACCAAAAAGGATTTACTATTTACATAAATAATTTTTGTCAGTCTAAAGAAAGTATTATTTTTAAAAATGACAACTTAAACATCTTTTTTTTTCTTTTTTTACAGACAAAAAAAAATTGTTGATAAAAAATCTTTTCTTCTCTAAGATGAGAGATAATTTCTTTTTCTTCTTCAGAATTCTTTTTCTCTTTCTTTTTTTGGAGCTAAATGGGGAAAATAATAAAGTAAAACGCCTCACCTAAGCTAAATAAAATCTAATTTCAAGACAAATATCTATTTAAAATAAGATTTTAAAATTTTATTTTAAATAGAGAATGAGAATGGGGCAGAATTACCGACATCGAATGACTCTGTCACGTGATTACATTATCTATAAATAGCAGACACGAGTTCGCTCATTCTCTTTTTTTATTCTTCCAAATTCCTGCGTAGATGTGATCTCCAGGATTCTCGTCTCGACCATGGGCGGTCAGACGTTAAAAGCATTGTTATAGACAAGCGTATGGTTGCAAGAAAGAAATACAACAGCAGAAATAGATTTACGTGGTTTATTTCAACAGAAACGTGAGGGTTTGGGACAGCTACCTTGTGGTAAAGTTCATAAGCCGGTTTTCGGATCTGGTCGATCTCTCATAGTAGTTCACACATGTTGACGGTGGTTGGTGCTCTCCTGCTGACAGCTGCTGAACGTGACCGGTCTCCTATGTGGCCACCTGTTGACTGCCTGTTGAACTTCCGTGTGACCCCTTTTATAGCGTTTTTTTATGGCTTAACAGGCTCGAGAAACGAAGCGAGTATAATTAGGAGGGAATCATTTTTATTGGACGAGAAATAGAGCACTTTAAATATTATTTTATTTTTCGACCGGAACACGTGTGTCGGAAACATTTGTAAAGATAATGGTCATTTTGTGACGGGGCTTTGTCCCGTTCACATCCGGTTCTCGCTCTTGAGTATTTGCCTGTAAATCAGCCAAGATATGTCTTATTTTATAACAGCATTTTCACACATACACGTACGTACAAACTTTTCCAACCTACATTACAAACATACAGAACATTTTATTAATCAGAAGGAATTTCGAGGGTGTGTTCTAAAACATTCGTCCACAACAATTACTTAGAACAAATCATGCAAATAAAGTTGGAAAAACAAGACAAAAGTTGAATGCATAACAATAACATTAATTTATATACAATTTAAATATATACAAATGAGTTGGTGATTTGTCGTATATTGGTGTAATAAGACATGTAGTTTGTTGTTGATTATGTTTGAATGCTTAAATCAATGTTTTGATGATTTATGGTAAGAATTAAACAGTTTGCTGTTCAACGTACAAAAGTGTTTGATTTTACAGTTCAAATGTTAATGTGTGTATACGAGTGTTATTGTAAATATTCTTAAGTTGTACGAAGTTGCGTACCTTGAACTGTTAATTGTTGAAAGGTTTTGTTTGTTACTGTTACTAATATGTAGTGAATATATAGTTCACTTTCTCAAGTAAAGTAAATGAATTTTTGAGAAGTTTGTTTGATAGAGATTGAGTAAACCATTAGGTTGTTGAGTCAGGTTAATTCGCGCGGGAAAGTCAAAGTTTAAATTGGCGTGGAATTGGTTGGCATCTCTCCGAGTGTGGAGTCCTGACTGGTGAATTGGACTGAATTTCGTCCTTTTATTTAGTTTGGGAAACCAAAGTAGGCTCCCAGTGTCCTGGCGCGAAAACAGATTTTTGACCATGGATACACATTCTAGGGTCGTCTCGACCAATCACAAGCCGAGTTTCACAATGTGTGGTGTTGATTGGTCAAAGCTAATTCTTATAGAAGAGTCTACTTTTAACGAAGGTGAGTAGACAAACATTGACGATTCTATAAATACCCCCTCCAGATTAATGGTCAGCGTAGTTTGGACATTAATATGTATAAAATGTAGTATACTTTGCTGGCCAGTGAACGCGCCTGCCGGACCTGGTCCGTGTAGGTGGCTTAATTTGCGGTTCAGGCGTAGAAGATGGGTGTTTGTGTAAAGTCTCTGAATCTGGAGTTTGCTGAGTGGTAAGCGGTCAATGCTGACTGTAGTTTGCTTGCCGGCGAGATCTATAACGAAATATTTTGGCGCTCGAGAAATAACCTGGTGCGGTCCAGTGTAGTTAGGTGTTAGTGGTTTACGGACCATATCTCGGCATAGAAAGACGAAATTTGCTGTATGCAGATCAGTTGGAATGTAATAAGGCCTGTGAAAAGCTCTGGTCGGCGTATAAATTGTTTCAGACATTTTTTGTCGGAGGTCGCTAACAAACTGGCTAGTAGGTAGGTTGTCCGATACAGGGCCGAAAATCTGTCCTGGCAAGGTTAGGGGAGTCCCGAAAACCAAGTCAGCACTAGTACAGTTCAGGTCCTGCTTGACAGTGTTTCTCAAAGCCAGCATGATCAGGGGAAGTTTATCAACCCAAGTTCGGCCGTTGGTAGAAGCAGTTATAGCGTATTTAAGCTGTCGATGAAATCTTTCCACAAGGCCATTGGAACAAGGGTGATATGCTGTAGTGGAAATGTGTTTAATCCCCAATAAATTAGTGAACTCATTAAAAAGTGCTGATTGAAACTGTGGACCTCTATCGGTAGTGATCACTGAAGGGCATCCGAAAGTTGTAATCCAGTTGTTAAAAATAGCACTTGCCACTGTTTCAGCTGTAGTTGATTGTAGAGGGATGGCAACTGGCCATCGCGTAAATCGATCGATTACTGTTAAAACGTATTCAAATCCGTTCACATTTTCAAGTGGACCCACTAAATCAGCATGCAGATGGGTGAAACGACCGTCTGGGTTGGCGAAGGTTGATGTAGGTGCCCTCGTGTGTCTGCCAACTTTGGTGGCTTGGCAACGTAAACACGTGCGGGACCACTGCTTAATGTCAGCTGCCATACCGGGCCAGATAATTCTGTCCGATATGGTCCGCAACGTCGCCTTGCCTCCTGGGTGTGCTTGTGAGTGAAAATGTTCGAAAATTAGACGGCGCATACTTGGTGGAATGTACGGACGCGGGTTACCGTGCTGGTGTCACAATAAACTGACCTGCTCGTAAACGGGAGCGGTCTTTTCTCAATTTTTAAAGAAGTGTCTGAGTGAATAGCTTGCAGGGTTTCATCTTTGACTTGCTCGTCAGCTAGATTATCAAAGTTCAGTGCGGTACTCTGTACTGCGCTGAGAGTTGTTCGAGACAGAGTATCGGCCACGGTGTTACTAGCTCCACTAATGTAGCGTATATCCGATGAGAATTGTGATGTGTAGTCCATGTAGCGTATATCACGCGGATTGTGTTTATCCGACTTAGCATGTAGGGCGTATGTTAGCGGCTTATGGTCTGTAAAAATCACGACCTTCTAGAAGGTGCCGGTAGTGTCTGATTGCTAAATAAATTGCTAACAGTTCACGGCTGAAGGTACTATACTTCCGTTGGGCCGTATTTAGCTTAATTGAGAAAAAGGACAGTGGTCTTTCCACACCGTTGACTATCTGATGAAGTACTGCACCAACTGTATCCGACGACGCATCGGTAGTTAGCGTCAGTTTTGCGTCGGGTGCAGATGTAATATACGCAAGTTTGGTACAGTCCTGCAACGCTTGCTTCGCTCTATGAAAAGAATCCAGCTCGTCCACAGATAATACAATCTTCGGGTTTTTTGTTTGTGCTTAGAAAGGAGATTTGTCAGTGGAAGAAGTAGAATAGCACAGTCGCGTATAAATCGGCGATAATAATTAATCATGCCTATGAATCGCCGTAGCTGTCGTAATGTTGACGGTGGTGGGAAATCATTAATCGCCTTGACCTTTTCGTCTAGGGGAGTTAACCCATTCTTATCAATGACGTGGCCAAGGAAAGTTAATTTGGGGACAGCGAATAAGCATTTATCGACGTTCAGCTTTAGTCCGTAATGTTGTAACCGCTCAAATACTGACTGTAGATGGTTACGATGTTCCTCGGGCGTTTTACTTGCTATTAGTACGTCGTCAATGTACGCATATGCATAAGATAATCCGCGGAGAACCTCATCGATAAGGCGCTGAAAAGATTGCGCAGCATTACGGAGTCCGAACGGCATTCGGGTAAATTCGTACAAACCGAACGGTGTCGTAATCGCTGTTTTATGAACATCAGACGGTTCGATAGGGATCTGGTAAAAAGCTTTCCGTAGATCTAGTTTGGTGAAAACAGTAGCGCCTTCAAGGGACAAAGCAACGTCCTTAATATGAGGAATTGGATATTTGTCTGGCACAGTTTGAGCGTTTAGGAGTCTGTAATCTCCACACGGTCGCCAGCTATCAGGTTCGCTCTTAGGGACCATGTGTAACGGTGTGGCATAAGGACTGGAAGATGGTCTTATTATGCCCATCTTGAGCATATTATCGAATTCTTCCTTAGCCACCCGTAATTTAGTTGGGTGTAAACGACGGGGTGAAACGTGGACTGTGGGTCCAGTTGTCTTAATTGTATGTGTCGTGTTGTGCTTTATGGGTTCTGTATGAGTGAATGGTGATAAAAGAGATTTGTACTGCTTAATCAAATCTTCGCCACCATTTGTACTAGGTATTAAAGTAGTTAGTCCAATCGTGGAAAGCTTGGATAAAAATCCTCGTCGTCGTACATCTGTTCACATATCGGTAAGCGTACGAGTTGACAGTTCGACGGACAAGTTGAAGTGTGCGAGGAAATCCGCTCCTATAATAGGTATCTCGACATCGGCTATAGTGAAGGTCCATGTATACTCCCTCCGTAGGCCGATACTTAGAGACATGACACGCTCGCCATAGGTGTTTATGGATGTGCCGTTTGCGGCCTGTAACTTTAGCTGGGCTTGTCTGGGTATTATTGATAACTTGTTACAGTAGTTCAGCGGTATAACGCTGATTTGAGCGCCAGTGTCAACTAGGAATTTTAACTTGCTGTTGTTGTCGAATACGTAGAATAGGCGATTTCCATTATCTGCCCTAGCGGCCAACGCCTTTAATGGCTGCCAGGTTCGGTGTTTCCCGCGTTTTTATAAGCACATGGTGACTGACATTTCCTTGCGCGGGCACCAAACACTTCATGGTACCAGCAATAGCCTCTCTGATGGTGACGAGTTTGTCTCGACGTTGATCGCCGCCTACTGGTATTGTGTCTGTTAGTTGAATAACTGCGACTTCGTCCAGGAATACTTTGAATACTGTCGAGGCGTAATGATAGCTTCTTTAGCTCGGCCGTCAAAACATGAAGTTGCTGGTTAACATCCGGGGTCGGGTCATCTGATGGCACGACAGAGGAAATTTGGCGAATTGGTCTCGTGTCTACTATTTTATCAGCGATCGATGCTAATTTGTGAACATCGACCTCAGTTAGTACTGCTAATATTTGTACGATATCAGGCTGCAATTTCTCCAGCCACATTTGCTTCAATACTGTTTCGGATATAGTGTTGTTACCGAGTAGCGTTATCATTCTCCGAAGAAGTTGGGAGGGTTTGCTGTCCCCGAGTGTGACATTCGTCAGAAGATCCTTAATCTTTCGCTCCTCGGAGCAGCCTGTTCGTTGTAAGATTGCCTGCCGAAGCACCTCATACGGCTTTTCGGGCGGGAGATTAATAAGGACATCCGCTACCTCCGCAGCAATTTCAGAGGGAAGCTTCTCCACCACAAATGCGAATTTCGACTGCTGGGACGTCACATGCCTGGCTTGGAAAATCGCGTCGAGTTGTATGAACCATGTTTGTGCATTCATGTTGTAGGTAGGGAGTTCCATCCTGAGTGCAGCTTCGGTTGGCTGTATAGGATCTGCCATGTCGACTGAGGTTATCAGTTATGGTTGTAGCCTTATTCAGAAGTCGGAGATAGCAATTTTGTTGGTACAAACGTCGGTGGTTACCAATTTGTTGGCAACGTCGAACGACGAACGTCGGGGGTCATCAATTTGTTGCGGACTGGTTGTTGTGTTTTTATTAATCAGAAGGAATTTCGAGGGTGTGTTCTAAAACATTCGTCCACAACAATTACTTAGAACAAATCATGCAAATAAAGTTGGAAAAACAAGACAAAAGTTGAATGCATAACAATAACATTAATTTATATACAATTTAAATATATACAAATGAGTTGGTGATTTGTCGTATATTGGTGTAATAAGACATGTAGTTTGTTGTTGATTATGTTTGAATGCTTAAATCAATGTTTTGATGATTTATGGTAAGAATTAAACAGTTTGCTGTTCAACGTACAAAAGTGTTTGATTTTACAGTTCAAATGTTAATGTGTGTATACGAGTGTTATTGTAAATATTCTTAAGTTGTACGAAGTTGCGTACCTTGAACTGTTAATTGTTGAAAGGTTTTGTTTGTTACTGTTACTAATATGTAGTGAATATATAGTTCACTTTCTCAAGTAAAGTAAATGAATTTTCGAGAAGTTTGTTTGATAGAGAGATTGAGTAAACCATTAGGTTGTTGAGTCAGGTTAATTCGCGCGGAAAAGTCAAAGTTTAAATTGGCGTGGAATTGGTTGGCATCTCTCCGAGTGTGGAGTCCTGACTGGTGAATTGGACTGAATTTCGTCCTTTTATTTAGTTTGGGAAACCAAAGTAGGCTCCCAATGTCCTGACGCGAAAACAGATTTTTTGACCATGGATACACATTCTAGGGTCGTCTCGACCAATCACAGGCCGAGTTTCACAATGTGTGGTGTTGATTGGTCAAAGCTAATTTTATAGAAGAGTCTATTTTTAACGAAGGTGAATAGACAAACATTGACGATTCGAGGGAAGACCAAGGTTCTTTTTTTTAATTATTTAAAAAAATTTTTTTCATTTGCAGCATTTTTTAAATTTAGGTTGAAAATCTTGATTTTTCTTAGGCCAAAAATTAGGTAATATTAACATTACTTGTTTTTCATTGTTTTCAGTTGAAAAAAAAAACACATTGATTTGGAAAATCTTGCAAAAATCAAGTACTTGTTGGATTTTAATGAAACTTTCAGAACTTATTCACAAATGAATGAAATTATTTTAGAAACGTTTGTCTTTTTTTGAAAGTCATGGTATAAATATATGTTTTTATATCTGTTACACCCCTCGAACTTAATTTTATGAAAACTTCAAAAATTTATTTTCAAAGCCTGAATTTGTTTTTTCTATTAAATGCACAAGACTC